TAAGATTTTTTTTTAACAAAAAAGTCGAGTTAAAACTCATAAGCAGATGAACCTTTTTTAAATTTTGCAGTCTTTTCTAGTTTTTCAGAGTACACTAAATCTTATTATTTGAAGCAACAGCATGACGGATTTTTCGGAGTAACTGAAATCTTATAATTGAAGCAACCAAACATGTTGGTAGCACGATGCATTTTCGGAGTTCTTCGGAGTTACTTAAACTTATCATTTTTCAGCAACCAAGCCGTTTGGCATCACGAAGAATTTTTCGGAGTCTTTCGGAGTTCTTGGGAGTAATCTAAAACTTATTATTTGAAGCAATCAAACCTTTTAGCAGCACTACGAGTTGTTCGGAGTATTTAAGAGTTGTTCGGAGTATCTCCTAATCAACCAATGTTGCTTATAAGTCACTCTAAGGACATAAGGTAAAAATTCAAATGAAGCCTGATTTTCCTTGATGTTCTGTTATGTATGAGTTTCAATTAAGAATGCTCCAATTTCTAATTGCAAAATGAGTGAGGTATTCCATGTAAATCTAATTATAGCAATTGCACTTTTTACAATATACAAATCTCTAGGCATAAAATTGTCTCATAACTAATTTAAATTCCTAATCAAATTTATATTGATTTGTAAAATGAATGCTTTAAAGTGAAGCCCAGAAACCAGCGCCTACTCCAATGAAAATCGTATTTATAAATAAAGTACATATATTCTTCATCCTAAACGACCTCTCACACTTTAGCCACACAGCTGCAAATATTACACATTGCATTCTATGTCGACAAAATTCGCACAATTATCGTAGACGTCAATAAATAGCTGAGTAGTTAATGAGATAAGCGCAGTTAAAGTGATACGTCACAACCTATTCGGATAGCAGGTGAGTAGAGGTGGCAAAGAGATTTGCGAATGAGTAGGAGACATTGAAAATAATTACGAATCATCGCTTTGGTATGCACCGCCACCTGTCTCTTCTCTACTGCCGCTTACCGGCTGCAGCTGGCAATCTTGAAAATTGAGTTGTGTTCATGTTATCTCTGAGTGCAAACGTTTATCAATAGATACGGAGTCGCATACGCATATACATACATATGTACATATAGAAGTATATACATACATGTACGTATTTAGAAGCAGGTACGCTAGCCTATTGCCAGTGCTGCCAGAGAAAAATTTCGTTTGGAGCTAAAACGGTCGAAAAAAGAGCTAAAAAGAGCTAAATAATACTAATAGTAGCTAAAATGAAGAGCTAACTATTTTTGTTAAGGTTGAGCATTTATTGCCGTAAGGTTGTTTTTACATTTTCTATAAGCTTAAGTGCTGAACAAAATATTTTAAAACCAAAATAAGGTGCATATATTTCGAATTCGTTGCTATGGCACTTATAACAGCAATCTAAAAATACCTTATAAACTGTTAAAGTCTGTAATTTCAGATATTTGAATTGAATAATTTTTTTGCAAAATTTGTCTGGAAAGTTTTACTTCCAGCTCTTCTTAAAGGCAAAATTCGTAAGGTAAAACAAAATCCGCGCTATCAGAAAAAGGATTTTCTTTTAATTAATTTTTGAATTCTTCAACCTAGATCCAAGAGTTTATGGTGGATACACTGCGTCTCGAAATTTTCCATTTTAGCAACGCTTAAGTTTTTGCTTATATTTATATACCAAATACAACTAAAACTTTCTGGAGCTAAAAAAGTGTTAGATAAATTTGAAAAGAACTAGGAGCTAAACCCCAATTTTCGGAGCTAAATAGAATAAGGGGCTGTCCATATATTATGTAAGGGAGTTTTCACCTGTTTTGAACCCCCCCCCCCCCCTCCCCTAAAGTAATAAATTGTAAGATTTAATTGATCCCCCTTCCATCGCCGCAGATCTTAAGTAAGATTAAAAATCCCCTAGACATGTTTTTTCAATTAAACATTAGAAAATACTATATATTTCCACCAAACAAATATAGGATGCATGCCTAGTCAGTCTTAAAAACTTCATTACATAGTTATACTAGTCATTCTTTGTTGTCGGTATCTTTGGTCCACGGTTCAGCCAGCTAATCTGAAAGAGGAGTAGCCACAGGGATATCTCGTACTTCTTTTTCTCTCAAAGGTATTTCATTTTCTCAGTCCACTGAAATTTCTTCTTGATTCGCCCATTCAACAATATCATCTGTTTCATTTTCTGTGATGACACACATGAGATCTCGCCCGCGTCGTGAAATTATCATCTTTGCTCTTCGACGCTGAGGCCCAGAAAAGATCAAGTGAAGCTTTTTGTGAATGCTTAGGGGCTGTCCATATATTACGTAATACCATGTTCTGACCGACAACGCAAACACCTTGAAAACGAGTTTTGGGATTGTGGGCTGAAGGCTGTTCACACCGGTGGTTTCGTTGACATTTCTTACATCCTTTGTTTACAGTTTTGCTACACAAAAACAAAACCAAAATACTTTTCCTTCAATTTCTTTTCATTAACCTTTTACTTCCATGCTTATTTTATTTTGACCCGCCAATTAACAATAAATCCAAAATGGCGTATTAAAGATGATAAAATATGACTTCCACTTCGAAAAATAATCAAAAAAAAACTAGTGCAGACACCGATTGGAATAAGCGGAACTTAAGTTTTCAAGTGGTTTTCAGCGAAAACTGGTTTTAGTTTGACAGATTTTACATGGACGAAAACACAAGTTTTAGGTCGAAAACCAGCAACGAAAACATGTTTTTGATGTCGGTCAGAACATGGTATAAGGGAGTTTTCGCCTGTTTGTGTTCGAGTTGCATTTTTCGGTCATAATAGACACCGAAGAGTAACGTTTTTTTTAGAAAAATAGAAAAATTAAAGCAAAAGTTGTAAAAAATTGTTATATCCTCCGTATATTATGTATATTTTTCATTTCAATGCAATTTAGTACTTTAATTGGGTGAATTTTCGTATTTTATAAAGGACAATTTTTAATAAGAATACAAGAAAAATAATATTACGTAAGAATCTACGGGATGCCCACTCCTCCCATATAAGAAAAAGTAAGAAAATTCTAGACCCGCCCTCCCCCACAAAGGTCTTACTTAATATATGGACAGCCCCTAATAAAGAGTTAAATCTAGCTCCAAAAGCATGAACATGGCAACACTGCCTATTACGTTTAAGTGCCTTCTAATTTTGAAATTCACCAGAAAATGTCATTTCATTAATTTTATAAGATTATTCGATTCCACTTTCAGTGTCCACATATATACAAGCGTTGCTGCTATTTCTGTTAATGCTTCTTCTTCTTGTTCGATTGCTTATCTTATTTTTCTATCGCCTCTTGTAAATTGATACTGTTATCTCTTATACCCCATTCCTTATATTATTGGTAGTCAAATAGAATTGTATGGCCTGCACAGAATTTAAAGTAATCATGGAAAGTTTTGTGCACATTTTGGGATAAATCAACTAATGGCCATAAATAATGTGTTTCCTGCACTGTGATTGTGGAGTGCATATTTTAAAAAAGCCAATATCTTACATTTGATTCCTGCACTATGTCTAGAAAAACTTCTGCTTTCAAGTGTCTTTGTACAAAGCTAGAACCCAACACCACGGGTTGTATTTAAAGGGTACCATCCGCATTCAGCATTCTATTTGGCACTAAAGCCGTTTGTCTATTTTGGGCCGAGACCAAAAAGCTTCTGCAATTTCTCTTCTATCCCGTGCAAATTTGTGACAGTTGCTCATCCCGAGTGCAGACAGATCCTTCTGCACTTGGTCCTTCCGTTTTGTTTGCGGGCGGCCTTGCTTTCGTTATCCGCTCCAGGATTCCGCGTCGTTGGTCTCCATGCTTACAACATGGCAAATCTGTCAGTATAAGTATTTGTATGCCCTTAACTATGCCCTTGTCGTTAAAATTATCATATAGTTCTTTGATACCCGCTGTCCACTCGAACAGGACCTTGAGGATCTTGCGTAGAATAATTCTCTCGAAAGCACTGAAAGCTTTCTCATCGTTGTTTGACATCTTCCACGTTTTTATGCATTATAGAAGAACGGGTAGGGACTTGTAGGGCGTGATTTTTGTTCGTCGAGAGAAGGCTCGGCTTTACAATTGCCTATCGAGCCCAAAGTAGCACCTGTTAGCGCAAGAGTTATCCTTCGCCTGATCTCCAGGCTAACGTTGCTGTTAGTTTTTCTGCTGGATCCTAGGTAGAGAAAGTCACCAGACCTGCTTTAAGGTAGGGAGGTAATTTGTCTTGTCCTCTTCAGCTTTTTTCTAAACTGGAAATTACTGCGGTAACGTCCCTTAGTTTCAGGCCGACCATATCGATACCATCAGAATACGCCAGTAGCCTGGTTCTTTTGCTACATATGGCCGCTTCGATTAATATTAGCAGCTCTTAATACGCTTTCCACTATCGCCTTGGCTAAAACATCGTTTGGTCTCAAACGGCACGGAGAGGTCCTTCCCAATTTGGACGGAGCTGAAGATTGTGCGGGGAACCCAAATTTAGACATGGCGCAAAAAAGAGCACAATCTGTCAAAAAATTACCAGCGATACTAAAAAAACAGCGTACATAATATCCATTTTTCCTTTGTATAGTAGAAGGCAAAAAATAAGAGTTTTTCTTGTTTAAAATATCAAAAATAAAGATTTTAATAAAAATGCTTGCTTTGACGTATGAAATGCATACTTGATACTGTCCTTTTTATTTATCGCTATATTTTTTAACAATGTTTGTGAAAACGAAAATTTATAAGAAAAGAATTGAGTAAATATTATTTAATTTCGCTATTTTGTAACTAAATTTTCTTTTTCTTTATTAAATTTTGCTTCTGAAAATACAAATTTCTCAACTGAATTCTCAAGTCAACACATTTTCTAATGCATTATACCATATTCCAACATAATATTGATGTATGAATGCTTATTTACATATTTTAAATGTACTATGTATGTACTAATTTGATGCCTGCTCACATGTGCTGACGCTTTGTCTATCCATTTCCATTTATTTTTAGCGCTACCAGAGCTGCCGGAGCCGCCACATACACTTCATGCCGAGGCGCATCGTATTTTGAAAGTCGAAAGACCAACACAAAAATGTGGCTGTATCTATTTTTTTATCTATCATTTAAGCCAACACCTAAACGCAATCGTGTGTCGTTGGCCGTGGCTAAGACGAATAGGCGCACAGCAAAGTGTAGCAAGCAACTAACAAAACGGCAAACAAGCAAGCCAAGCAGCTAGCAGCCAACATTCGACAGCCCACCAAAGTAGCCCACAAATTGTGGCGCGACTTGGGGAAAACTCATCAAAACAACAACAAAAACAAAACAAATGAAAAACACACAAAAGGCAGCAACAACAACTAGAAATGGCTACAAATGCGCCAACAACAAAGGCGAAAAACAAAATAGAGGCAGGCAGGCAGCCAGCTAACTTGATAGCCAGCTATTTGGGGGCCCCGAGCGCAACATGCATACATACATATGTCTTGATTTGGGAGTAACGCTGCCAACGACGCCGCAGCGCTATTGAGACTCTTTGTGCACGCCTCTGCCAGTGCTCAGCTGTTGGTCAATACGCTCGCACACTCATTCCCGTCAGTTGGTAAAGGCTGAAAAAGCTACAGCGCGGTGCTTGTGATTTGCTAGCGAGCTGGTGCGCGGTGATATTTAGTACAGAGAAAAGCACGCGATTGCGATTAACGGGTGAAAATTAATTTCGTATTCCAATTATATATATATCTTCTTTTTTTTGCGAGGAAGCGAATGAAGTAATACTTGTAAGGAAATTTTATGGTTGAAAATTTCTTAATGCAAAGAATTGTGTGATTTGAAGAGTTTTGTAGTGATTTTTCTAAATAAATAAATTTGAAAAGATCCAATGCTTATGATAAACAAGTAAAAATTGTAAAAAAAATCCAATGATCATGAAAAAATATATATAAAAAATTTGCTGTGAATATTGCAAGTTGACTACAGTGATAAAATAAAGTTGTTAAAAATCAAAAATGTTTTTCAGGTACAGGAGAGAGTTCTGTTAATTTTTTTTTTTTTTTTGGAGTGAAATTAAATAAAAGCAAATATTTATAAATTGCCGTGGTTTAATTAAATTTTGAAATATTTAAAAAAAAAAAACTTTATTAGCAAATATTCAAATTGAAAAAAAAACAAAAAGGTGAAGAAATATTCCTAAAAAAACAAAATGATGATTAGAAAAGAGTTAGAAAACAAGAAAAAAATAAAAAACCAATTCAAAAAGTTCCAAAACTCAATGCAAAAGAAAACTAAAATATATTAATTTTAAAAGTGTCTAAACAATCAGTGCTTAAACACCGAATTCCTTTACAAAAATCATAACTTTAAAAAAACTTCAAAAAAATCAATTTTAAAATTTTTGAAATTTCCGCTAACGCTACCACTAAATACATAATTTCGAAACTATCTGCGAAATTTTCTACGCTATTAGCAACCAAGCAAAAATAAAAATATAATTCGCGCAGATATTCAAGCAGACATTTTAGTGGATTGCAAAAAGAAAACTAGAAACATATCAATAAATCATTCGTAGTGCGAAAATTTTTAAAACAGAATCAACATAGAAAATTGTGTGTGTCACTTAGAAAACAGAGCAGAATTAATAAATTTTTGGGTCTATGGTTATAAAAAGCCAGAAGAAAAATTTAATATTTGTAAAAATTCAAATGCAACAAAACGTTCGAATTATAAATTTCAAGTAAAAAATCAGCTGCAAAAATAATAAAAGTATAGTTTTAAAAAATTTCAGATCAAGAAAAAAAGTTAAAAAAAATATATTAAAAGAAAATAAATACAAAAATTGTACAAAAGGAAGCGAGATAAGTAATATTTTAGTCCATTCAAATTCAAATACTTAAACAACAACAAAAATAGCTAAATACAACACAAAAAAAAGTTAATTTATTTTTATTTTTAATTTTTTTACAAAAAAACAGTAATGAATAAATTTTTTATACTGTTTATTTTAAGATGCAAAAACATGAACATTATTTCTCGCAAAAAATTGTTTTGCAATATTTTAAAAAATTCCATGTAAAATTTGCAAACCTAACACAGCTCAAAAACTACGATATTTTAAGCGAGAAATTCATCGTTGTAGTAATTTTAGAATGATTTGTGAAATTCGGAGTAATTAGGACTTCTAAAGATATTCATAAAATTACACCTTTTGTTGACCAAATCGAACGCATATACATATATTAACCATAAAGTGTCACCGAAAGCATTTAAAAAATGCATTATACGAAAAATTTTCGATTAGAAATTATTTGGGAATTATCTTAAACTATATAGTGCGGGTTTAGTGTTTCATGGAATTTAAAATTTTCGGAAAAAAAATTTTAATCAAAATTCGTTTGTTTGGAATATTAAAGTTGACAAATAAAAATCAAAAACTGGTCTTAAAAACAAAAATCTTAACTAAATCTGAAATTATCATCAAGCTTAAATACTTTTTAAGTAACTTCTAAGACTTTGGAATTTTTCTTATAAACATCCTGCAAAGAGTTTACATTAAAACCAAAAATCTTTACAAAAACTTTTGAATCATACCACATTTACATTTTTAAAATAAAAACAACATAAATCTAGTCATTTTACATATGTTTGCACGAAGCAATCAAAGCCCCTCAAATTAATTTAGAATGAAAAAAAATACTAAAAATTCTAAAATAAAAATTTATAAAAAATGGTGGCAATATAATAATAAAATACATAAATGGTATATTTGAAATCTGGTTTTCCTTCATCTTATTTTCAGTTCTGTATCCGAATAGAATAAGTAACCACATATAAGAGAAAAACATAAATAAAAGAAATTATTTTGTGAAAAAGCAAGTGTTGAAAAATAAGAAAATTTTGTTTCATAGACAACGCAATTTATTCAACGTCTAGCAAAAAAACGAGCAATCAATACAACATCCCCGACGCTATAAACTCTCTTCCCACAACGCCTACACCCACAAAAGTTGGCGGCGTATAATATCAGCAACCTGTGGTACTAAATTTAAAATAAATTTGTACAAAGCAAAAACAGTTAATGCAATAATAAAATAGCCAAACAAAATATCGCTATCAAAAATAAATTATAAAAGATAATAAAAAGATAAAAGAAAAAATCAATTTTTAATCGTGTGTTATAAATTTAAAAAGTAGATAATATATCAGTGCAAAAAAAACAATTTAAAGCAAAGTGCAAAGTGAAAATCAAGCAACAATCAACTTAACAACGAGTCGATTATTTTGAACTGAATTCAACAACCAACCATTGCACTTCGAACCACCACAACCACCTTGCATCAGTTTTCATTCGCAAGCACGGGCAAGGTCATACAACGGTGCACTTAACTACACACTAGTGATAGTATTTCAGTTGAAGTACGTCGCATTAGAAAATACCTATTTGTCTCTACAACTCGTTTCCGTTTGACAAGCCATCAAAATAGGTACTCGACTGCGCGTACACAACCTCAGTAAAGATAACAACGATATGATCTATATAGATGACTCAGAACCTGAAGGTGGTAAGTACTCCTAGTTACAATGTGTTAAAAAAATATATACTTATGTAGTTGTAGTATGCATCACGTGTTCTCCACACCTTTTCGTTTACATATACTACAAGTAAGTTTGAACCACTTTGAGTGTCACTTGGATTGAGTACTTACTTCTACATTGTGTTTTTTTGTTTGGTTGTTTGGTAGAAAATATTTATTTCTCCGACAAAACCAATTTGCTGATAATATCTTATTGGTAGCCCTCACTAACTTCCCTTTGTTTTTCGCTTACTTGTGATTCACTGTTGCTTTATCAAATCAGTTTGTTGTTAGACTTCGCAGTTAATTACAGAAAATATTTTGAGCGAAATATCTTTATGTACTATGAAGGTACTTTTTGCACTACGGAAAATTTTCATACATACATGTAAGCATATATAAAAGAGGCCATGAGAGCAGAAGCCACAATTTTTTTTTTTTCTATTCAACTTCTTAAAACAGTCTCAAATGTGATAAATTTTAAAATAAAGGGAGCTTTTTCCTGAATTTAATGGTATGCGCTTTATTTTAAAATTTATCATATTTGAGGCTATTTTAAGCAGGCAAGTACAAAAACAAAATTTTGAGTTAGGCCACTTCTGCTCTCATGGCCTCAAATATCTGTGGATAGTAAAAGAAATATCTTGCATTGCAAATAAAACTAGGAACGTTCCTTTTGAGGTCATCATGTTGCTTCGCTAGTAAAAATATTTAACAAATATAATTAAAAAAATTAAAATTAAAATACATTACACTGTGCATATCATTTCATCATTTTCGAAGTAATGAAAAATCATTGAGTTAAATAAAAACACAAATACTCTAAAATTTCGCTTTCAACCCCCTTTAAAAACTTTAAAAAAAAAACGCAAATTGCGTTCTATTGTATTTTTTTTTGACATTTTAATTTACTCCGAACTTTAAGTATTTACTCCGAAATTTCAAGAATTGCATTTTGCGAACATACTAAAAATCATTATCACACTAAAGGCAGTATTGAACCATTTTTGAAAATATTTATTAATGTTAATTGACACGTAGTTTTTGGAACGGTTTGAATTTTTTTAGATGTATGTATGTTAATACATCAAGTCCAGGGAACTTTGTAAAGATATATTAGCAGAATGTAAATTTAATTTCGCTAAACTTTTTGTGGAATCAGTAAAGAATTATTTATATATATACATAGTATTTGTGTATTTATGTATATACATTAGGCATATGACTTTTTTGTAAAATTAAATCCACCTATGAATAATGAAAACACAGCAAAAATAACGGTTGATTTTTGGCATTTTTTTTTTTTGTTAAAGGTGTCCTCGTTTTGGTATACTTATGTTCGACAATTTTTATATGAAGGATCATGCACAACACCTTCAGCAAATAAATTGCCAAAAATTAATGTTAGGTAACAGCAACTTTGAACTTGCACTTTATTATACTAGCTTGTTAATTTTTTAGATATTGCACGAAGTTTAAAACTTGGATATATACGATTGTTGTTAAAAAAACAAAACTATATTTTTATAACTATAACAAAATAAAAAAAAATATATAAAACACGCACTTATAATTATGACGCGAGGTGTATGTATATACCGAAGAAAATTCATCCAAATTTTAAAATATATTAAGCAGTTTTTTCTTTAAAAAATATCTTTCATGGAAATATCCGATTTTCGTAGTTATTCCGAAAACTTCGGAGTTGTGAAAATTTGTGAATTGCCGCGGAAATAAATTGATTCACTGCTTTCGGAATCAACTGCAAAAATTGTTTAAGTGTACCTTAAAAAGGACAGATATGTTATTTTTAATATTTTAGAAAAGTTTTAGTCATATAATAATTCTGAATAAATCCGAATATATTCGGAGTTACCAAAATTACACTTAAAATTTTGTGTATTCATTTTTTAAACCTAGAATCATCTACTTACAATGAGCTACTTTAAATTTTTATTGCTACAATTCAGCAATAAAAAAGATAATAATCGAAAAAGTGAATTTGAATCCATCTTTAATCAAAACTGTTTAAATTTAATCACTTTCTAAAAGCCTCAGCATAAATTTTTTCTCTAGAAATCACCATTACATCAATAATATAATGTATAATACACTAACCGAAAGGGGCGGTCCTTCACTCGTCGACGGATGAACATAAATTTTAATAAAGTGTTTAACTAAAGCCAATTTACAAATTAAGATAAGACAAAAGCGCAGCATGAACGCGAAAGCAAGGCGAAAATGGGAAAATACTTACAAAACGACCGGAAAGGCAGATAAACGCGGCGCGCGACTCTCGACTGCCTACGCCTCCACAAATAAAAATTTTAGAAAGAAATGGAAACGCAAAAAAGAACCGAGCCGCTAATAAATTTTATCCATTTTCAGCAGAAAACAAAAAAAAACGATATATTAAGAATCCAAAGAAAAATGAGACAAGCCCATTTGAAAATGGCACTGACAAGGCCAAGGCAAATAAAGGCCGACCGTTATGAAGTGCTAAAGTACGAAGGTGGCTGGGAAAGTTAGAAAGAAAGTGGAAAGTTAAAAATTGAAAATCAGAAGTCTTTAAGCAGCAATAAAAAATGGAAATTAAGGATGTGCATGTATGTATGTATGCGCATGATGGTGTTGTATTTATATATATATACATACATAGCGCTAGTTCAGTTAGACTTTGAATGAATTTGTAAAAAGCTCTGCTGCTCATAGCGGCCTAAATTTGTGCATAAGTATGTGCATGTAGTATGTATGCATGTGGCGCACGTTCCAGAGGGAGTTGAAATTCGTAAACGAAAAGGATAACTTTTGTTTTTTTTTGTTGTTGTTCAAGATGTTTTATGCAAATGCGAAACTTTCAAAACTGTGCCAGACAACTTAGGCTGGCAATTTAGTAA